GTGCTTTCTTCCTTTGCGCTCAAATTCCTTCTTCATAAATTTGTGGAATTTCTTGATGACGAGTCCGAACTCGTTGTCATCATCGCTTGAGTCTTCTTCCACGGTCTCCTTGGTTGCTTTCAGTGCTATTCCCTTCTTCTTTTGTTCATCCAAAGACGGAGTTAGAATAGTAGATTCATAAGTTTTGAGGTTACCTCTTAGCCCGTCGATGGTGACATTGGAGACTCCGATGGATTCGTAGATTGCGTCAGCCTTTGATCTCCATTCGGGTGTGAGACTCCGCAAGATTTTCCTCACAAGGTCCTTGTTGGCATACGTCTTCTTGAGAGCGTGAAGGTCGTTGATGATCTTTGAGAACCGATCGAACATGTCATCGATCTTTTCGCCTTCCTTCATCCTGAACATCCGTACTCCTGCGTTAGGAAGTCAATTTTGGCTTCCCGGACATGGTCTGTACCTTCATATGTGACTTCCAGCTTGTCCCACATTTCTTTTGCAGTGGTGCAGCAAGAGATCTTGCGATAATCATCAGGATTGACCGCACAGTACAGCATGTTGATTGCCTTGGCGTAGTTCTCCACCTTTTTGATGTCTTCGGCATCAAATTCGTCTTCGGTCTTTGGGACGAGTTTTTCATCGACCTTCTTCATTGGCGTTTCTTCGCCGTTTTTGATGACCAACCACAACTGGAAGTTGGTTGAGAGGATATAAATTCTCATCCGTTCTTTCCAATATGTGTAGTTGGTGCCATCAAAAAGCGGTGGCCTAGAGGTTGATTGACCTTCTCCAATTCCTGCATAAAGATTTCTAGAAGAAGAACCCATGATCGCTTTACTCTCAAACAGTTAAGTTTGGACGCGAGTTAGGCTCCGATACCAATTGTTAGAATAATAAACCAACGCTACAGGGTGGGTGAATAACGTTTGATCGTAGAAATCGCAGGAATTAAAAAATTAAAAGAGAAGTACAGAGAAGAGTAAGAGGCACACCGAATTTTACCCTAGTTCACCACAACTTGTGGCTAATCCAGCCTCCCGAGAGACTCTCTCGAGCTACACTATTATCTCGTTAAGCTTGCGGGTGCTTAACAAACCGTTACAACTTGAGAGTTCGAGTTACACGAACCTCAACGAGTCCTTCAAAGGAAACAGCCCTTCCTTTGAATCTACCGAGGGAAATACTTTCTCTCAAAGTGTCTAAGAACACGAATACACTCAAGAACGAGGCTCTCTTATAGAGTAGATTATGAGTAAACTAAGTACGCTCAAGAACAACTCAACCTCCTCACAAAATGGCTCTAGAAAGCTATGGAAAATGATGATATTTGAATGCAATGAAAGTATGAATGTTGTGAAGTGAATTGGTGAGAAAAGCAGACCCAAACACCCCTTTTTATAGTGCCAAAATAGGCTCCAACGGACCAATGCATTAAAGGGGTGATTAGCTTNGATGTATGGACCTTACCCATCGCTGGTAGGCCAATTTTCCTTCAGTTTTGAAGCCAACGGTCACCTACCCATCGATGGGTACATGCTTCCCATCGTTGGGTGGGAGGTTGACTTCCAAACATGGAAAGAATCAACCTTAAATGACATACAACGGTCATGCCTTCCCATCGATGGATAAGCCTTCCCATCGCTGGGTTCCCATCGATGGGTAAAGCTTCCCATCGCTGGGTAAGGGCATTCTACCTTGTGATAATGTTGGACCAAGGCTTTATCTTCTACCTATCGCTGTTTGGCATGGTTCTGGAAGTTGGTTTGGCTAAGGGGCCGCTTACCCATCGATGGGATGTTCTTCCCATCGCTGGGTGGGTGGTTAGCAAAAAACCTATGGTTTTTGCCTTAACCACGGCCTAGCCAACCGATGCAAAAACCGACCGAAAAATCCAAAGTTCTCCAAAATAAAAACCAAGTGTTTAAAACACTTATTTGATGTATTTGGCTAAGAAATCAAGTGAGACACTTTAAAAATCACGTCATTTGAGTAAAAACCACTGCTAGCCAAGTTTACGCCGTTTTGCGTTGTTTTTGTCAAACGACTAAAAGCGAGAGATGGTTTTCAAAGTGTTTTTGTTGGAGAACTGTTAAACATGCCAAAGACTGAAAGCAGATCATAAAATGCTGAAAACCAATTGGTTGGTTCGGATGCCAAAAAAACCAAAGCCGGCAACCGAAAGCCGAACGGTGGTTTTTGAAAGCCGAACACTGGATGGCTTGGTTTTTGGTTTGGGCGAACACCAAGTGTTTTTAATGACTTAAACAAGTTTGAAAAACATTTTTATGATGTAAGAAATGCAATGAGAGATTTTAGCCTAAAGAGCCAAGGTGTAAAGATTGGGTCGGTCTTGATCACAATAAAGACCGACTCAATACTATGACTAAGGTCTTCGTTTTGCTCTTGCTCTTATCTTCGTTCTTCGCCTTGTATATTCAATGTTCGACTTGATCACGGCGGTTTGGCATTATCAAAACCTGTTACGAAAACGAACACGGCTTTAGTACGAAAACGTGACAAGCCCGTGTTTCAACAATTTCCCCCTTTTTGATAATGGCAAACGAGACGAGGTTACGCATAGGAGGATTATTTTGAAAAAAGAATGTTCCCCCTTAATAGATTCCATTTTACAAAGTAAAAAAAAATTCCCCCTCAATTTATGCATAACTTTAATATCTTCCCCCTTTTGACATTAACAAAAAGAATTAAAAGTGAACTTTAGAGTTTAAAAGTAAACTTTTATTCATTAAAAAGGGAAATGCGGAATACAACGGAATGGAAATAAAAAATACAATCATAGTAAGGAGAGAAGAGAATAGTCTAAGCATCGGCGTCCTCATCATCATCCTCGTCGTCCTCGACGTCCATGGGATCGCCGTCGACCGCATCTTCAAAGTCGGCTTCGTCGGGGGAGGAGGATGGAGCATAGGAGTTATCCTCCTCGTCCTCGCCTTCATAGTTTTGGCCAAGGAAGGTGGTGTCAAAGGGCGGCGGGACGTAGTTGATGCCGCGGAAGAACACTGTCATGTCGTGGTGTTGGCGTTGCAACGTCCAGTCCATCCGCTCAATTGACTGCCCCATGCCATCCACTGTGAGGGTTAGCCGATTCAGAGTATCGGCTATGGATTGCAAAGAGGCCTTGGCGGGAGCGGGGGCTGGTGCATGACTTGGGCCTACGCCGTCCCTGTCTCCGGACTTCTTCCGGAAGGTGCTGTCTTGAATGATCCAAATCTTCGTCATCTTCGTATCCGGGCCGGCAATGGAGATGTCGGCGGAGATGATGAGGTCCATGACGAGGAAGGCGTATGGCAAGCTCCGCTCAGTGGCGATGGAGGCACAATCTGCCATGTGGATCATCACGAATTTCGCCCAATTGATGGAGGCGTCGTGGATGATGGCGTGAATCGCCTTCAAGTCCTCGTTGAAGAGCGAGGTATGGCTGCTGTCCCGGGGGCGGGGAATCCGGGTGATGATGTAGAGGAGGAGGCGCTTGTCCGGTGGGGCCGAGTGGATCGTCGGCGTGCCGCTGTGGCGGATCAAGTTGGTGATCCCAAGCTCACGAATGACGACTGCCTCGTTGTTGAGGATCCAATCGTCCCCACCATAAGTCGCGATGTCGTCACCGCGGATGGGCAGCCCTGCGACCCAAGCAAAGGTAGGCAAATCAATCTCTATGTCGTAGAGATTGATGCTGCTGCGAATGGTGTCCCCGTCACGGCGGAGATTGGAGTAGAAGGCCCGGACGAAGGCGGGATTGAAGCTCGAGCGGCTCCTGGAGACGAACGACCACAGACCCGACGCTTAAAGCTGATTGTCGAGGTCGTGGTACCCCTTTTGTTGAGGGTACAACTCGGGCAGCACCCTAGGCGGAGAAATGGGACGCTTGGCAAAGTGCGTGAGAAACCGGTTGAGTTCCTCCTCCGACCCGAACTCAAGAAACGAGCCGTCCAGGTAGGGGAATGGCGGGGGCGCTGAGGTCGTAGCTTCGGCGTTGCCCTTCTTCTTGGAAACCTTTGTATTCTTTCCTCCGGCCATGATTGAAGCAAAAAGATGAAGAATTATGTAAAAGAGGAGATTTTGATGTGAAAAATGTGTGTTAAAATGAGTAGAGATGAAGGATATATATAGGAAAGGGTGAGAAATTCGTTTGAATTTGAAAAAAGTGACTGTTGGGCAATAAATTGGGTGACCAACGGTTAAAAAATTTGAATTTGCAGCAGGCTTCCCAGCGATGGGTGGAACTTCCCATCGATGGGAAGGTCGACGCTGGAAAGCGAAGAAGAAAACAAAGGTTGCCTTCCCAGCGATGGTAAAACTCACCCATCGATGGGAAGGTGGCTACTGGAAATCCGATAAAACGCTTTAAAAAAAGTGTCAAACACCCAGCGATGGGAGAAAGTTCCCATCGATGGGTAGGGAGGTTCCGGAAAAAAATTTTGAAACTAAAATCATTCACCCAGCGATGGGAATGGGATGAAATACCCATCGATGGGTAAGGTGTTTCTGGAAATCCGTTAAAAGTTTTAAAAAATAGAGTCAATTACACATCGATGGGAGAAAGTACCCATCGATGGTAAGAGAGGTTCTGGTAAAAGAAAATTGACAAAAAAGTCCTTCACCCAGCGATGGGATGAAATACCCATCGATGGGTAAGGTGTTTCTGGAAATCCATTAAAAGTTTAAAAAAAATAGAGTCAATTATCCATCGATGGGAAGGGGGGTCCTGGAAAAATGAGGACTTCCCTCCCAGCGATGGTATAACGCACCCATCGCTGGTTCCCCCTGATTTCCAGAAATCTTCACTTCGAACCGTCCCTGCAAAAAAGAGTTAGAAAACCCTCCGACGCTCAAGTTAGTAAACGTTCAAGCACAGAAAAAGGAGTGATAAAATGCACAAATTAGATCATCGTGGAGTCAAGGATTCCGAGTTCACTACGAATGCGGAAGAACGACTCTTTCTCTAAAGGTTTTGTGAAAATGTCGGCTAATTGATTGTGTGTTTCAACAAACTCAATTTCGACATCACCTTTGAGAACATGATCTCTAATGAAATGGTGCCTAATGTCAATGTGTTTCGTCCTTGAATGAAGAACGAGGTTCTTCGTCAAGCTTATGGCGCTAGTATTATCACAACGGAGTGGAACGTGACTGATACTAAGGCCATAATCCACGAGTTGTTGCTTCATCCAAAGGATTTGAGCACA